GGGGTGTGTGTGTGTCGGGGGGTGGTGGGCAGGCCCCCTCAGCCGCTCCGCTCGGTCCGCCCTCGGGAAGGGGCCCGGCCTGTGGGATTTTCAGGGAGCCTGTAGTGGTTTTTAAGCCGCCTCGTGTGATTCGCATTGCTGCCTGCCAGCCCTTGGCGCGTAGTGGGTTTTCTCTTGGAAAGAAACGTCCCTTTTTCTTCTCTACGTCTTCAGAGAGCTGAAAAATGTCAGGTTTTCTTGAGAGCTTGAGGTGCTCGGAGTGTGTTGACTGGGGAGAGAAACGCAACACCATCGCTTCTGTTGCTGCTGGAGTGCTGGTACGTACGGCTTCTCGTACAGCTTCTCTTGCGCTGCTTTTGGACTTTTTAGGTGTCGTTGGCTGTCGATAAGCTAAAAATTATTAGCGGTTGGGAAGTAAAAGGAAGAACAGGGACAAGTTTTTCTTGTGTGCAGCAGCAGAGTTAACGACAAAAATCTGTTGTGGGTGCTTGCATCCACGTGTTACTTTGGTTTCGCAGCTTCTGCCCGTGTAATAACTATTGGTAAATCTCTGGCTTTGCATTTAACCGTGTTCCTAAGTTGGTAGCAAAACTAGTTATGCTATCGGTTGACTCAGTTGGAGACTAAGAATGATTTTGTGTATTAACGGGTGGGGGTTTTGAGCAATCTTATTAAAAGGCTTGTGCCTGTATTTTAAGCTATTGTGGTCTTTCTTCTCTTTTAATAGTTTTTTACCGGTTGGTGGATAATCATAGATGCAGCTGTAAAATACCCTAAAGTGGAAGATTTCAACCATTCATACCATGCATGTGGGGTTATAGCCACTATTGCATTCCTAATGTAAGTGTAATTTCTTGATCAGCGCTACATAATGCTACAATTTATATTAATAAAATAATTCATAGTCTTTAAATGGAAAGGTAACTAAGAATAACGAGTCAAGTTACTATGAGAGTATTTCTAATAGCTTTCTTATATTTGTTGTTATTTATAGTAAGGAAGCATTTTTGAAAAAATTGGGTGTGTTACACAGGTCTGTCTTAATAGTCTTTGGAGAAGTGCTTTTTAAGTTTTAGTCTTGTCCACTTTTAAAAAAAAATACCAAGAAATGCAAGATCTTCCTTTTTATGTAGGTTTCTGAGAAGTCTCCCCTGTTGTTTTGTAAACACTTATCTCTTGCTTTACCTATGTTTACCCAGTTTTGTCCTGTTTTGCTGGTACAGGATCAATGCGGTGTCCAACGGACAAGTGCGGGGTGACAGTTACAGTGAAGGCTGTCTGGGCCAAACAGGTACGATGGTGTAGGCTGTTGTACAGCTATAGATCTGGGAAGCCATTAAGGCTTGGAAGAGTTGTAGGAACTGTACCAGAGTGCCCAGTGTGCGCCTGTGCATAGCACTGGTGTGTGACAGAAGGTGCTCTGAAAGAAAAGCTGAAAGTCGCAAGTGTCTGTACCCGGACCCAAAACATCCCTACGTCTTTTCAAGGTGCTCGGATCTGGTTGTTCATCGGGTTTATGATGGCTTTTGGATCTCTGATTGCTTCCATGTGGATCCTTTTTGGAGGCTACGTTGTTAAAGGTAAGATAGAGGAGTGTGGCCTGATCCGTTTTTGAAAGTTTAAAGTATTTTACATGACTATTGAATTTTAGAAGTTATTTTTACATAGTTTCTAGGCAGGACCAGTTTTAATATTTTGGTTCCCTACGTATGACTTTTTCATACTGTATATTCATAGGTATATGTACTTATGCACACATGCATTTCAAACAGGATGAGCAATCCCGTGTGATAATTACAGTCTTTATGAGCATTGCATTTGAGATGCACATTTTTGGTTTGAGAACAGGAGAGGCTTCTTTTATTTGGAAAGCTAAATGATTGGTGGGGGGCACAGAAGCCCTTGAATTGAACTTTCCAGTGGGGCGAGGCTTAGGCTGGTCTTCTGTGTCACACCATGGAGCAACAGAGAGTGGAGGGGACTGTCCCTTAGAGCCTGAAAGGGGTCTGTGAGCTGTGTAGGGCGGTCTTAGTTCCACGTGAGAACAATCTGGCTGAGGCAGATTTGTAACGCAGTCACGCTGGCACCAAGTTTTTTGTTGCTTCAGCTCCGTACCTTGTCGGGCATCCTACGTTGTAACAGACCCCTCTGTCAAACGCAGCTCCTTACAGCTGCTTCACAGTGCGTTGCCTCCACGTGTTCGTTAGGAAGAGAGACTGGTTATCCTTGCTAACATAGTGCAGCTTCGTGTTTCTGAAAGGTCAGAGATGGGATATTCTTGAAAATTACTTCTCAAAAATTTATGGAGTTTCTTTCTTTTGTTAGAAAAACCTGTCGTATACCCAGGAATAGCTGTGTTTTTCCAGAATGCATTCATCTTTTTTGGGTAAGACTATCCTCCTTTGTACATTCCTTATATAATTGTTTTATAATGATTAAAACTGGAACTTGCTGTAATCTGTTTTTTCTTAAGCCCTGTTTTGTGACTAGGCATGGGGGAATAAACTGTAGGCAAAGGCAGTAGATTTCTGGGATCTGTCTGCATAGGTTTGGTTGCAGGACCAGGACTTGCTCCCTGAAATCATGTATTTACAATACTCGGCATTTGACTTGCTCCCTTATGTACTCGTGTCCCTTTATTCTGTTTTAAACAGAGGACTGGTCTTCAAATTTGGTCGCACGGAAGATTTGTGGCAATGAACGCGCCTGCGGAAGTGCATTGGCCCTGCTGGTTTTTTAACTGCACACTCTCAAAATTTTGTAAAACCATTTTGGGAAAGGCACTTGATTTCTGGGATCTGTCTGCATAGGTTTGGTTGCAGGACCAGGACTTGCTCCCTGAAATCATGTATTTACAATACTCGGCATTTGACTTGCTCCCTTATGTACTCGTGTCCCTTTATTCTGTTTTAAACAGAGGACTGGTCTTCAAATTTGGTCGCACGGAAGATTTGTGGCAATGAACGCGCCTGCGGAAGTGCATTGGCCCTGCTGGTTTTTTAACTGCACACTCTCAAAATTTTGTAAAACCATTTTGTAAACAGTGACCTTCAATTGTGTCTAAAGATAAAACAAGGAAAACTTCAATCATAGCACTAAAAATTCTGGTTCTATTCTGTTTAATTTTTTTACTCTTGTATGTTGATTTAAATGTTGTCATGTTTTTGACAAATGTAAAACTGCTGCAAGTAACAATGGAAGTCACTTTTATGATACGATGTTTGCTACAAGTAAATAGTGTAGTGGAAAACGGATGTATTAACCAGCTGTTACAATGGTATTTACAGTCCAAGACTTACTAAAAATGCTTTAAACCAACTTTTTAACATATATTTATTAAATATTTCCTATACCTGGACAATATAACCATTTATTCAATTTCAAAACTCAATGGTGTGTGGCTTTTCTTCCATAACATAAACAATGCGGTTTTGGGATTTTTTTGTTCCCCCTCTTGGAATATTTAATTTATCCTATGGCAATAATCGGTAACAACTTCCTGTTGCTGCAGATGACATTGGAGAGGCACAATTACAAATTGCGTAGTGGCTCCAGAGGGAAGCAGCTCACTCACAAAACTCGCTGTAAAACATTTTCTAACTGCTGTAAAACAACGGAAGAGCACTTTTCAGATCAGAGTTCTGTCTCCAGGAAGAGCACTCCTCAGACAGTTGCTACCAGGGAGAATTTTGATCCTGTAGCACGCTCACTTGAACGGTGAGATAGCTCTTCCCGTATCTGCCCCTTCCTATACATTCACCTAGGCTAGTTGCTCAAAAAAATCAATGATAAAAGACACATGGGGAAAAGGGAGGGAATCATAGAACCATAGAATAGTTTGGGTTGGAAGGGACCTCAAAGCTCATCCAGTCCCACCCCCTGCCCTGGGCAGGGACACCTCCCCCCAGCCCAGGTTGCTCCAAGCCCCGTCCAACCTGGCCTTGAACACCTCCAGGGATGGGGCAGCCACAGCTTCTCGGGGCAACCTGCCCCAGGGGCTTACAGGGAAAAATCTCTTCTTAATATCTAATCTAAATCTACCTTATTCCAGTTTGAAGTCATTCCCCCTTGTTCTATCAGGAATAAGGAATAAAGGAATAAAATACTGTTCCTTAAAAGCAGTCCTGCTGGAAAACAGCCGTTTGTGTTGCAGAAGTTATGTTTGGTTGGTTGCTGGAAAGTTAAGAAGTGAAGAACAGAAGTTGAGGCTAGGTTACACGGTAACACAGGCAGTACGTGTGTGTCCAGGCTGAATGTCACCGTCAGCGGGTGGGAGACTCGGCAGATCACTGGCTATTTTGCGACCTGGGAAGAAGAAAATCTGGCCTTTCCTCCGCAAGTAATTTTTCATTACTCTAAATCTGTCTCACGCTTCTTTAACTGCAGCGATCAACTTTGCTTCATCCCCAGTGAATGAATGGAGGTCGGCGTGCGGCACTGCAGGGAGCATCAAAGGCCTCAGGCTTTGTCTTCAACGTTACATTTTTCCTCATTACTTCATTTTTAAGCAAGCGTGCTGAATAAATAAAACCAATCAGATTTTGACTTCTTTATTATGTAAGCATTTTTGAAAGAGGTTTTTCTACATCAACTATTTTGAAACAAACAAGAAACGCTGCAGATCACAATCCATTTAAAAACAAGGGTTCGTTTGGGCAGAATCCTCTGCCCCATGAGGCTCTAGCTTGTGCACCAAAGCTTGTCTCGGAGTAACCATCAGACACCGCACAGACAGGCCGGTCTGAGGTTTGCTGCCAAATAAATATGAGAAATACCACTGATTTCAGGGGCACCATCCACCAACGGAACAATTTAACTTCTTGCCATTTGAACTCGCAAACAGCTAGCCTGAGCCAAGTAATTACAGCTTTTTCTTCAAGCAGTCAGGTAACTCAAAGAGTTGCGTCTGGCAGGATGCAGAGTTCTGGCCCTGATCCAGCTCACTCATCAAATCCTGGCTTAACAAGGCCTTCAACAGAATTAATTTAGCTTAAAAACAAGTACTTTAATGCTTCGCTAGATCACAATGAGTATGTACTCCTTGAAAAAAATTATTTTCAAATGCAGATTTTGGCTTTTAAACTTGGGAGCTAAAAATGGTTTGGAGTTTCCAAGCATTTTGATTGATAAGCCACTGCAGCAATGAATGCAGCCAACGTTTTTGTACAAATCCTACAAAAAAATATGGAAGGGAAGACCATCAGAGCCGAAAAAAGCTGAATGCATTCTAAGTTTGCATCTGTAAATTTAGACCCTGTGTCTTTCACGAATAACTAGAACAGTTCATTACTAATTCTTTGTGTGTGCATTGGGATGGCTTTTTTTGAGCCTGAAAATTGACCCTTACACGTGCTCTTTCAGCCCCTCACAGCTGTGTGTTTTCCCTAGTGGCAAATAGGAAAAGCTTATCTTGGTCAAATCTGTCATCTGGGATCCTCCATTCAAAATCCAACAGCCAAATGGGGAAACTGTGAAGACAAACATTCTTGTATCAGAACATTTTATGCATCAAATCATCATACAAAAAAAAAGGCAATGAAAAACCTTATTAGAAGCTTATTTTCTTTTTTTTTTTCCCCTGTAATTCAGATACAGCATCACACTCAGCACCTAAAGGTGCCCAAGGCCCACGTTTGTGCCATCAGACTGTACAGCCACGAAAAGCACCTTTCATTCCACTCGCTGGCTTCTAAAAATCCCTCTCTCTGATGCTGCTCAAGTCCCCGCAGGAGGCCACTGCTGTCAAGCCCCGCGGATGTCTGAGCAGCGAAGGCTACGTCTTACAACCAACAAGATCATTTCGGATTTAGCCCCGTGCCCACCCACGGCTCTGACACTCCTAGCTGAAGGCTACACGCATTTATAAAGTTCAGGCTCCGAATCAACTGTGGCAACAGCTCCTGCATTTCAAACAGGGCATCTAAAACATACCGTCACATGGAATTATCCTCTTTTTTTCTTTTTTTTTATTCAAATACCTACAGTTCTTCATCAAGGTCAACAAGGTGCTATATATAACCCCACACAGTTAATTTTACATTGAAACTTACCTCCCAATAAAACTGGTCTTCAAAGTACTTCGATACAGGGATGGTCTTAAACGGTTTGAGGTTTAAGATTAAACCTATTTGTAAAAAACGCATATATCCAATATAAAGATATACATCAGGGAAAGGGGAAGATTGTGTGCAGCTAGAGGTTTCCTAGAGGCACGCACCCAAATGCAACGTAGATCAAAATACAAATTCAGAACTAAATGCTTCAGCAGAGCCCCTTGACTCAAGCTGACCTTAAACACAAAGAGTTTGCCAGGATCAAGGCTTGTGTTATTAAAAATTAATTACTCTAGGTAAAACCCCATTAAACAGCCTGCCAGATTCTAAAAATGCACCCAAAATTATTAACTTATTGCATGGAAAATGCCTGTGTATTTAAAGCCATCGGGCTTATCAGCACTGTTAGCTTGGGATTTCAGATGGAAATATCTGGATTTTTGAACAATTTGTTTAGCACTGAATGTTTGATTATTTCAGCTGAATGTTTTTTAAAAATCTGCTTGATTAGCTCGATTTCTTAATTACACTTAAGGTAATGCAAAGGTTTCAGATCAATTAAAGCACACAAAAAAAATAATCATTCTGGAGTGTATTTCACAGCAATTTTCATCTGCCGTTTCTCTTTTATTCAAGACAGAATTAACAGCTATAGAAAACCAGCAGCTGCCACAAACCAGAATGTCACATGGGAAGCACCCGAGCCCTGATGATCCCAAACCACCAGTGATCAAAGGCGCAGCGCTTGTCTGACGCAAGCCAGCTACTGACGTCAGTGAAACTTTGCGGATTCATACCAACCGGCCTAAAAAGGGCCAAGCTCTAGACAGCATTTTCTGTCACTAAGACAATACCCAAATGTAAAAATGTTTTCATCCTCACCCATCTCCTGGCTGAAATTTGAAGGCAGCTGTTAAGCCTCTGTTAAAATAAACTTCACCAAAGAAAGAATGGTGCTACCAGGTTATTTATGTTGAATTCATCTCTTCTTCAAAAGACTGGCTTTGAAGTGTCCCTGGCATTCGTCTCTCCCATGACTTCTACAAATAATTTACCCACAGAAACACACTTCAGAGCCCCAGTTAAACTGGTCTCTTTCTGCGAAGCGTTGCACTGACATGAGAGCAGGTGCAGGAAGACAACCATACCCCATGGCCCGAGGAAATGAGGAAGATATTACTGAAACATGTTTTTCAATACTGACCTGTAATAAAACCTGTTATCAAGGCAACGCTGATGGTCACGCAGAAGGCACCAATGTGAAACATGACCAAATAACCCAGACTGAAAAGCAAAACAAGTGTTTCACCTTTTATAGTTGCTGAATTTAGCGTTAAGACTGTGAATGAATCTATCTAAATGCCGTTTTACATCAAAACCTCTCATAAAAATTCTGTTATTCTCAAACCTCTCTGTAGCTGCAGTTAGATGTTTTAAGAAATCCTATCAGAAGCCTAATACAGACTTCAGAGGACATATTTTGCCTTTAGAAATCATCCTTGTGGGACTAAAATTTCATTAAATTTGTTTCAATAAGAACACGAGGAGAAGCGCAAAGCCCTTGTGCTGCACTGTGATTCATTCCTGCATAAACTGAGAAAATCAGAGAACTTGTATGACAGGACATGAGTTTGATTTACACAAATGAGATGCCAGTGCCAGATCAAAACAACCAGTGGAGAATATCCTTAACTGAGCCCTTCAGCTTTTGCAAGGGATCTCCCCGAGTATATTTTCCAGTTCAGTATCCAGACTGGCTTTAGTCCAAACTGGCATTCTTGCCTCAGACTCAGAGTGAAAGCCTCAGTCGAAGAGAAATGCTGCTTTCTGCCCCCCTCAGTATCAGCATACAAAGCTCCCCAAAACACATCACAAAAGCCAAACTCAGTCTTGGAAAGATGCACATCCCCAGCCTTCATGTATTTACTTTAGCCTTCTGCTGAATTTAATATCAACTAAAAAGGGAGACAGAAAACAGAACCAAAAGCTAATACTGAAGTTTTGATCCAAAGTCTGCTCAACTCTGAAAGTCTTTTTTACTGACTTTTTTGGACTTCGGAGATTATCTTA